TTATGTTTGTTATATGTGTTAATTCCAGATAACTTATGTATGAATATATGATAATTTATGCATTGTTTTATAGGCTGTAATTTTATTTTTTAGTGTGTGTGGTTTATATTGTTTAATTTAATTGATTCAAAGTAGAGGTGAGATCAGTGAGAACTCTTCAATTACTTACCAAAAAGGAGAAATGACCTCTTCAATTATGTAGCTCTATTCTTCTATTTTCAAAGAAATTTATATCTAGAAATCTGTTATATGTTGCTCAATAAAACAAGTGATTTTGGACTGGAAATATGATTTTGACCTGGATACATATCCAGACTACCCATCTGATTTTCAGATATGGCAACATCAAAACAAAGCATACTGATGCATATATTGCAGTGCTTTATTGTTCTCTGATGTACGTACATTGTTCCCAACATGGCAAAATTTGAATTTTCTTGTGATTTGGTTTCTAGAAGAATATCTGCAAATGGGAGTTTTATGGTAGAAATGTAGATTATTAAGCAAAATGTTAGGTTAGTGTTCTTTTGCAGTACTTAAGCAAAATGTCAGGTTAGTGTTCTTAAGCAAAATCGTTTTTTTTTTTAAGTATTTTCAATATTTTTCAAAAATAGATTTCCTTTTCTGCTAGTTGCAAGTGATTTTAGGACTTTTTACTTTATTAGTCATGACCGCAACCTGATTTTTTTCTCCTCTCTCTTAATTCAGCTGATCATCTTGAAGATGTCAAAGCAAGACTCAAATACTTAAAAAAGTGTTGTCGATGTCGAAACTTGCAAAACAAATTCTAAACTCACGGACTTGACTGTCACGGTACACTAATTCCATCTAATTACGTTGTCGTTGTCTTATGCACACTGTGCGTGCACACATTCCATCTAATTATGTTGTCGTTGTCTTATGCACACTGTAAATGCACACATTTTCAAGATATAAAGTGAATAGATATTGGCCGGTTATTATTTTGTAAACAAATTGGCCAAGTTTTGACTAGATATATTTTTGTATGCTTCTAATTGATCATGAAGTATTTTTGACTTAAAATATTATTATATTGTATTGGTAAAATTGTTAATATTACGGCTCTCTTACATTAAATCCTGACTCCGCCCCAGTCATTGGGACCTTTTATCGGTGGATGCCAACTAGCTTGAGTACAACTAAGCTATGTAACTTCATTATAATGGCCACAATTAAGCTGTCTGAGAAATGTAAAAGCTGTGGATACCAGTACAATTGAGTACTGGGAGGAGAACTGATGGAAGAGGAGAGAGAGAGAGGAGCAGAGAGAAAAGTAAAGAAGGGGGAGATGGTGATGCAGGTGGCAGCTGGTTGTCATCTTCTTACAGTGTCTTTTTTCAGTATGCAGCAATGTGGAGTGAGTCAGAACTTTTCAGACTCCTAGTTACTGGATTCCACCCTCCTCCAAACTTCGTTTTTTTAACACTATTTATTAGTGGATGATACCAATTAATATTTCCGTAGCATTAAGGTTTTTCCCTACATTTGCAAGCACCAAATTAACACAGAGCAATCAATTTATGCACTTCACTTAATTTCATCTATATAACTTGAAATTATTTGTTTGTGAAACAGTTATTGGAATTAACCTGAGTCATCAACTTGGAATTCTTTTAATGGAGTATGGTAACAAGACCATGTTTGAACTGAGTGTGAAGAAAGGAGAGCCAACCATGGTTCCTCCTGCAGAAGACACAAAGAAGGGTATATACTTCCTCTCCAACCTGGATCAAGACTACAATACGGTGTCCACCATTTACTGCTTCAAATCAGAGAGTAAAGGCAATGAGAAAGCTGCGGAAGTAATCCAAGGAGGCCTTGTCGAAAATTCTTGTTCATTACTATCCGGTTGCCGGGCGACTCACATTTAGCTCGGACGAAAAACTGATAGTGGACTGCCATGGGGAAGGTGCTGTTTTTGTTGAGGCAGAAGCCAACTGTACCATGCAAGATATAGTTGGCAAAACAGAGCTAGGTCTTGTGGAACATGGAAAGAAGCTGGTTCATGAAATTCCTGTTGCCAACAATAATACACTACACTTACCACCTCTAGTGGCTCAGGTATTCTACCTTAATTAATTTGATGATTGTGTACTTATATACACATGCTTATATAATTTTTAAGAAAACCATTGCTATTTTCCTTTCTTTTTTTTTTCAGAATTTCAACAGAACATTGGAAACAAATTTTTTGCATGTAAAACTGAGTCCTGCCCGGGGAATATATATCTATATACACACACACACTATTAAATTCTTTCACATATTGTCTCTAGAAGTATATTATACAGTATTGCTATAAATACTTTATTCCCCTGAATTACTGATCTTTATACTGCTATAAATATTATGTTTCAGGTGACAAAATTCAAATGTGGAGGATTTGTTCTAGGGATATGTGCGAACCATGCTATATTTGACGGAATTGCTGCTACAGAATTCGTAAACTCATGGGGTGAAATTGCCAGAGGCTTGGTCCTCAAGGTTCCTCCATCCCTAGATAGAACCATACTCAAAGCTAGAAATCCACCCAAGATCGAGTTTCCTCATTACGAATTCGTTGAAATCAAAGATATATCAAACACTGCAGATGGTTACAAAGAAGAAAAAATGGTATTCAGATCATTTTGTTTTGACCCTGACAAGATTGAAAAGCTTAAAATGAAAGCCATGGAAGATGGGGTTGTGGCCAACTGCCCCACATTTGAAGCACTCTCGGCTTTTGTGTGGAAAGCTCGAACTCAGGCTCTAAAACCAAAACCTGATCAACAGACAAGGCTCCTCTTGGCTGTTGACGGACGGTCTAGATCCAACCCACCAATGCCACAGAAGTTCGTTGGCAATGGGGTTGTGATGACAAATTGTCTTTGTAGTGCAGGTGAGCTAATTGAGAAGCCATTGTCATCTGCAGTGAGACAAGTTCAGGAGGCAATTATGGTGGTGACGGAAAGTTACATGAGGTCTGCCATAGATTATTTGGAAGTAAACAAAAGAGCTAGACCGTCTCTTACTGCAACACTTCTCATCACTACATGGGCTAGGCTGCCTTTCACACCACCGACTTTGGATGGGGAGAGCCCCTAGTAGCAGGGTTTGCCGATCTCCCCGGGAACGGAGTAGCTATGTTCCTTTCTCAGGTGAAAGATAGGAAAAACATTTATGTGAATCTGGGTTTGCCAGCCTCTGCCATGGAGATCTTCCAACAACTTGCACAACTAATTTGATCAAGAGAAAACTTCCAGCTTCCTATTTATTATTAAAAAATAAGTTTTCCAGGGTGGGGTTTTCTTCATATATGTACTTGTGAGTTATGATTGACTCTGTTAATTCTGTGTAAAGGCATTTATTTTCTTCATATATGCGTTGTCATGTTGTATTGTATACATAGTAGGATCTGGGTATATATACTTATATATATAGAATTCGATGGTTGTTGAATGTTTGATTGTGAAGAATACTCAACACCACAACAGAAAATGATAGTGGTCAACTGATACTTAGAGTCTGATTCCAATCAAAGGAGACGTTTGATTTGAATTTTGACACCAAGTCCATATTTTCAACCATTGAAGGATCCCATTGGTCACTGTATGTGTAAAAAAAAAACAAAAAAGATCAATTACATTGACAACTATATTACACTCAAATAGAATTTTGTGAACTAATTGTGATTCAGTAGTATCTCCTCTCTCTCTCTCTCTCTCTCTCTCTCTCTCTTAAAATGGATGACAGAGTTTAAGTTTTCAAAGGCGCAAAGTAGGTGTGTGTGAGTTTTTAGCCAATGCCAAGTAAAAAAAAAAAAAAAAAAATCCCTTTTATATATTATAAATGGAAATTTGATTTTGACTTTTACTTGCACCCCCAATTTACTTTATGGCTTTGGATGGATCATTTTTCCTCAATTTTTTAATACAAAATATATATAATCTTTATTTTTTTTAAGTAAAAAAAATATATATAATCTTAAATGACAAAAAAACCTCTATATATATTCAACACTGGCACCATCACCTTGCCAAGACTTTTTTATTATTATTATTCCAAATTGCGTAGGCAGTACCCTTTTATTCACAAAATCACAGCACTCATCACTCATTGATTGGATCGACATCACCCCCAAAAAAACCCCAAACCCCAGGGAAATTCAGGCGCTTGGCCTGAATGTGTCTCTATCTCCCAATTGGGAGATAGACACACATTATTTTCTCACCCTCACCCCAAACATACTTCCTCAAAATGTCATCAGGTCAAAAATCTTCATTATATTTTTTTCCTTTTATTTTGATATATTTCTAAATATAATATACTTCTCTAATGTTTACCAAAATAATAATAATAATAACAATAAAGGTAAATTACATGAATTTCTTCTGCAATTTGTTATAATTACACGGGTTTTCTCTATAATTTTAAATATTACTCTGACTTTTCACTTTTGTGAGTATCATTACTGTGTTCGTTAGTTTTAAATTGTTGTTACCAATATACTCATCTCAATATGTAGTATTGTAATTAATGAAGAATAGTATTGTAATTTAAAACTTTATAACACTAGTCTTCCCTCCCCTCTTCCGACCATATTTAGAGGAATGAAAATTTGTGAAGGAGAAAGGATGACTCATCCATCCTATTATCATTTTTCTTTATATTTAAAGTTTGATTGAAGAAGAGAAATTTAACCATTTTTTTTATGATGAAAAAAAAAAAAAAAAAAAAAAAAAAAAAGATAATTTTAGCAATTGAAAATTTTTGGGGAGTCATAATATATAAAAATTTGATATCGCGTGAAAAAATAATAATAATAAATTAATTAATTAAACAATATATATTATAGTGGGCGAGACCAAGGTGGGGGAGAAATACTTTATTTATCCGGTTGTATTAATGACATGGTATCACTAACTCATTAAATACTAACACTGTAATGATTTAACCAACTAAAATAAAATACTTTTACTTATGTGACAAGATATAATAAGTTGATGGCACGAATGACATAATATAATTGGTGTAAGAAGTCTTTCTCATACTCAGGCCACACACATATATATAGGTGTCTAAAGCAGTTTTGACCAAGAATGAAGTTGCCAATGTAGCCCCGGGGAAGGGCGGGGAGCACGTGCCCCCTAAAGGAAATTATATCCGTTAGGTGAACATACACTCATCAATTGCTGTCTAGTCTAGCCGACACTACACTCCTTCCTATTGACTATTGTCAAAAGCCAAAATAGAAGGAAATTATTGCAAGAGCACTACAATGTAAAAAAATGATCCGATAAGCATCTTATAAACGTCAACTTTTTTTGTTTGATTATAAATGCTAACCTCATGATCAGAACTCAAGCAAGTTTATATGATTAGGCAAGCGCCAGCAATAACATAACCTTCATTTTGGACCTCATCCCTGCTGGACACTGGCTGGATGTGGCAAACAAAATTTACTATGAGAGTTGTTGCACTTGAGGAGTCTGCATGAAGAAGTACTGCACACAACACAGTTGTTGTCAAGTCAAATGTCCAGAAAATTATCTTTCCAATTAAGAAAAATTTCTTTTACTTTTGAATTTATTACCTCAAAGGCTTTTCCTGTTCTTTCAAATTCCAGCATGCTTAGAGCAACTTGACAACTTTGAGAGACAATTGGCTCGGGATCTTTTGCAAATTCCTCAAGAAGTGCTACACTTTGATCATCTATAGACATAACAAATGCAAGTTATTAAGAGAATTCATAATTAAAGACTGTTAAAATCCTCAAGACTTATAATGCACTCACGAAGAAGATTAAATAAAGAAGTTTTAGTGCTGTAGGGAAAGATGATCCTGGGGACAATATGAAAAATTCATCAATTCTCGTTATATAAAACATACAATGATACATAACTTGATAGAAATGGAGCCTATAAAATACAGAAGGAACAAAAAATGGTTTCTTCAGAATGTGGGCAGACCAAACAAGCATTGTTCGTCTGCTATAAACATCATCCTTTACTTCATGTTCCTTTACCATTTATGTAACAATGATTGCAATATCACATAAAGCCTTACTGAGAGACTTCTTTTTTTTCATCGATAGTCTATACGAGATAGGAGAACATAACTACATTGAACTGGACATTTTAAGTGTAATGTACCATTACACTTTGGCATTTTAAGTGTAATGTACCATATAACTTCGGGCATTAGTGTAGCATACCAGATATTGTAGACAAACCTAGTAAAGCTTACCAGATAATATTCTTTTATTGTGAGTAGAGATATACAAGCACCTTTTTATGTAATAATGATTGTAATAAATTGTTGTATTATATTGATTATTACATAAAACCTTAGCAAGAGCCTTCTTTTTCCCAATCAACAGTCTATGAGTAGGAAAACATGGCTACATGAAACTTTTGACATTAGCAAAGGACCAAGAAGCTAAGTATCAGATGCATCACTCTCTAAATAGACAAATCAACCCCATCAAAAGAAAACCCTTGTACTCTCCAACCAATTACTCCACCAAAGACGAGAAAAGCTGCCTACAGAACTACTTTGACTCTCCTCCACACTCCAGACACACTCAATTATCCTTAGCATCACCGGCTATACTAGGTTAACAACATTCCTAGGCAATATTAAAGACATTACTTCATAAACAGACCTTAAATTACTTTCATAAAGAAGCTGTAGGGGGAGAAAAACATTATAAAATAAAAGTCTATTATACTAAATTCCGTTCAGCATAAGAAAAGTACATAAAATCTTGCACCTTATATCAATGCTTCTTGATGATAAACCACTCCCACCCTTGGAAACATTACAACGAATATAGCATAAAAATATTCAACCCTTCCATCAAAAAGGAAAAGTCAGATTAAATATTGTATTCTACTACAATACTATTTTCAACAAAGCCAACTCAATATTAAACTACTTTTTAACATGATATAGATCAAAATGCTGACCTACTCAACCAAAAATTAATCCAAATTTAAATTCAATTATTTAGAACAACAAATGTTAGGAAAATGCATCAAGCGTATAACATGGTTATACCTGCAATAGATCCGAGAGCTTCAGCAGCTTCATGTCTGACCATTGGGTGCTCATCCAAATCCCTAATTATCCTAGAAAGAGCAGCTGAAGCTGTTTTGTTTTGCAATTGACCCAAAACATAAGCAACCTGCAAAGTAGGGCAAACAAGAATCAATATTCAAAGGTGGAGAAGATAAAAACATTTGAAGCAAAAAGAAAATGTCAAATGATTAATGCAAGCCCACTTGATAACATCTCTCAACAAAGTATCTTCACTATATCAAATAATTAATACAAGCCCACTGTACTGAGGGATTTAAATATACATGTTAAAGGACAATAAGAAAGAGAAAAATATTAGAAATCCAAGACCTTGATGGTGGATTTTAAAAAGGGAGAAAAGTAAATAAAGGCAACAGTCGTGGTCAGTCTGGTGACACGAAAAACAGCTGTAGATGAATTACATACTGAGTTGTCTACTGACGTTATAAATTTATCAACAAAACTACCCATCAATTTAATGGTACACTTGTTTTAATTCCAAAATTAAATAAGTGATGTTCACTGAATAATTTTTAATTTATAAACATGATTAATAAGGGTGATGGATCTCATGTTGACTTTTAAATTGAAGTCAGCCAGAAATGCTTATTACTTTTTACATTTCACTACCTTTTTTTTTTTTTTGAAACTTCACCTTTCACTACTTCTATAAGTTAGTCATTAAAAGTTACCAAAATTCAGGCATATTTAAACATCTATCTCTCGAAGCCACATAACTTACATAAGTGCAAAAATAACAGGAGATAAATCCATATAAATCTAGATTGACAACATCAAAAATAGATTCATCAATAAATTCTTGAAATCTAACTGCAAACAAGAGATCTAGATTAAAATTGATAAGTCTAACCTAGAGCAGTCCAAAAAAGTAACCCAAAAAAAAAGAATTTGAACAGTTACCATTAGATTGACATACACAAGAGTTTTAATTAGATTATAAAGTAAGTTTTTGCATTTTTGTTCTGTTGGAAGATAGACTTATTAGTTGCGTAGGGTTTTTGTGGCACCCCAATTACAAAAGCTTGACATTTAAAATATATATACATATATGTGAGAAAAGGATTTAAATGGGTTTTAAAATAAATTCAGTCTGTTACGGGTAACATGATACATGATACTTACAATTATGTTCGATACACTGGAATGGACAAGGGCATAAAACAAATCATTCCACCATCCCACTCTTACATTTGCTTGTGCAAACAGGTCAGAATGGTCTCTTTAAGGAAATCACTAACACAAAATCAACATTCTTTTCCTTTGCCGTTAAAAGAGCTCAGTAGATTGATCCCCTCCCTCAGGTCAATCCTCTCTCTCAACTCTATTGTCTTCTCTTCATATATTCTTGTCTAATCAACAATAACCCTACTCTCTCACCCTAACCTTGAATTAGAACTAACCTCTCTCATGTCTCCTCTACCTCCCTATATCTCTCTTCTTCCTTTCCCTTCTCCATAACCTCCATATTGAAACCTTATCCCCAAACCTGAAATTTTCAAACCTAAACCAATAACTCAAATTATATATATATATATACACACACACACACATGCACGCACACGCACATGAATATCTAGTATGTGTACACCAAAACCCTAACCTGTAATTCATGCATGTATAGATGAATATGGAATGATCCACTAATATTAAATCTGGTGGCCAATAACAAATACAAAAGAATATGCTATGAAATTTTATTTGGAAACTTTATCAAACATACACACAACGAATTCAGTCCAAGTAATGCTTCATTCGGCATAAAAATATATAAATGAAAAGAGATATAGCGGACCTCATGCCGAAGGAGAGCACTATTTGCACCTAAAGAATCAATGATAGCCAATATAGCTTCATCTCCCCCATGGTTTCGAAGCGCAAAAAGAGCTGCATACCGTTCATACATGCCCTTTTCTTCATTCAAAAGAACTTCCCTTAAAATAGGTCGAAATCAGTCAACTAATGAGTAATATCCAAATGGTAAAGCTCATATAGTTTTTCTATTCATTCTAAACAGACAAACCTTAGTTGACCTACAGAAGAACAGGAAGAAGGTGCAGCTGGGTCAACTGACAGAAAGGGTGATGCTTCTATTTTGGACGATTCATCATTCCCAGTAGTTTTAAGTTCCTTGATTCGACTAATAGCCAATTCACAAGTCTCACGGACCTCCTGAGCTGGATCTAAAACCAAACTGTTTTTCAGAAGAGCAACATTACTCTCTAACCCAATAGCACCCAGAGCTTCCGCAGCCTATGCATCCATTAGCAGAAAAGAAAAGAGATGAGCATGAACTATCAAGAAGCAAAATCGGAACACTCAAATATAAAAGAACAAAAAGTTAACAGCAAGTTACCTCATGGCGAACAATAGGATGCAAAGAAAGATCATTAAGAATCGCTTTTAGAGCAGGGATGGCTTCAATATCTTGCATTTGCCCGAGGGCAAATGCAGCCTCATGCGCTAGTAGATTTGAAGAATCCCTTGTTGCTGCAAGACGCTTAAATTTACTTGCAACGTTATGTGAAAAATAATTTTAACAATGAATCTCTTCCAAGAAAGTATCATATACTTCACGAACATAAGATAGCACAAGAAGAAAATATACTTCACTACAACAAATGAACAGTTTTGATACAAAAGATGAACAATTCAAACACAAGTTGTTCATTCTATTTTAAGTCAATCTTAAAGTTTACCATTTGGTTTTCAATTGTTCTAAACATTATAAATTGATTATTTAAAATAAAAATAAAAAACGCCTGAAAGAACACAAGTTTCAAAAAAACTAGATGAAAAGTATAGTGTTAAGATATAAATATTCCAAAGCCCTCAAATTAATTGATTCCTATTATAGGAAAATTGGGAGACCTCGACTGTTGTAAAATCGCCAGAGAATGAAGTAGAAGTGCTCAGCACATTATTCAACCAAACTATCCAGATATACTCATAGAGATGAGACCAGGCACCACAAATATTCATAAATATTAATAGAGCCATTAAGGTGGTTCCTGTTGGATGGGTGACTTGACACATAACTAACCTTCTCAGCAAAAGTGGTTCCTCTGGGGCTGAAACATGAATTCTTGGCAGATATTGAAGGAGCCATGCGTAAATCATGACTCTTCATCCTTAATAAAAGGATGCTGAAGTTGAGCAAGGTTCAGGGTAGCTTAGGGTGCCCAACCTATTTACAATGCTTTCCTCATCACAAAGATACGTACTTCAAACTATTGAAGTAGCCCTTGATATGAGCTGGACTTTGTGCTCTGAGAGATAATGTTTCAATTTAGGAATGCCAACAGCAGTTTTGTCCCCTGGTAGTTTCAATTTTTTTTTTTTTTCTCTTTCTTACTTACTCTTGCTACATCAACAACACCAATAATTGGTAGCTCGTTTTTTTTTTTTTTTTCCTTTTGTCTTGCTAAAACTACCGTTAGCCATACACGTGTTCACTCCACTCCTCCCATCCAATCCTTCTCAGTTGTCACTTTTATAGCTTTTAAGTCATCTACGTATAAATTTCATTACAAACTTGATTAGACTGGAAACTTAACTGTATTCCATGGTTACAATGTATATTCTGTGACAAAATGCATTTTGAGATTTTACATGGATATCTCCCATCAGAGTACACCAAATCAACAGATCTTTTTGCTTTTGCCTTTCTCTGACTTTTTTAGGTGAATTTGAAACCCAATAACTGTTCAGAATGAATTAAATTAATAAATAAATAAGACAAATAAATTTATAATCCGATTTTTGAACCTAACTGATTTCGGATGGAGGTGAAAGAACAAGAAAGAAAAAAACAAAAATAAAAAATTAAGCAAATACATATTGCTCCACATACAAGATTTAGGTAGATTCTCAAAGCAGTCAATGAAAAAAAACTAACAAAGCAAATTCATGTTAACTGTTAGATTCAAAGTGCATCTAAACGAAAATAACAATCACCAAGACATTCCGCACCCATAATCACAGAACTCAACTTATAATTCTTCGCATATCAACCTATTTACAGAAAGGCATAATAAAGGGACATTACCCAGTTCTTGTCATAACATCTAAAAGAGATAACCCTAGTGAGGACTTCGATTCTTATCACCATAGATCAAAACACCCCAAATTCCGCATGACAAAACACTTTTATTAAACCAATTTGATAACAAACTAAGTAATATATAAAACCAACATAATAAAAGAAGCATAAATCGATAACCAACTATTGTGCAAGACAATTTGTACGTGTGTATATATATTTATGTGTGTACATATAGAGAGAGGGAACATAGAGTATGCACCAACCAAGAATGAGAGCATCACGAGGACCAGTGCCTCGAAGGTTGCGGAGAGAGAAGAGAGCTCTGAAACGGTCTGATATCGACTGGTTTTGATCAAGCAATTGTTCGCAGAGGAACTTCTCTGTCTCGTAGGACACCGTGAATGAGTTCTCAGAAGAAGCCATTTCAGTTGTTGCAATGAATTAATTGATTCTTTTTCTTTCAAATGAAGATGGCAAATGAAGATGGGTGATATATAGGATGAAATCACCAAAACCCTAGCTTCTACAGCTGAGGCTCGATGAGAGAGAATCAGATTGCCTTAGAATAAAGCTAAAAGCTAAAACGCGTTTCTAATGGAATAATGGTAATAAGGCGGTAAAATTTTTTACTGTATTTCTCACGCGCGCGCGCTCTCTCTCTCTCTTACCTGGGTAAAAACAGATTATTTACGTTTTGCGGGCATGTGTAGAGTCCGGCTCTACTACCCTTTGAGCAGTTTTGGACCAGGATTTGATTAGTATAGTGGTTTTTCTCAAGGAATCCTTAATAGTATAGCCATAATTGTAACCTCATTCCCCTTATATCCTAATATTATTGTATTTATTTCTTTTTCAAATAATTGTAACAACTCAAAAATCATTATAATTATAATTATATATTTATATAGTAGCAATCTGCGGAAAGGATTTGTTAAAAAAATGTGGCAATCTACGTAAAGGTTTTATATATATATATATATAGTAGCAATCTGCGGAAAGGATTTGTTAAAAAAATGTGGCAATCTACGTAAAGGTTTTTAAAAAAAAAAAAAAAAATTGATGTACTCAAACACATATTTCTCAAATTGTTCACTGTGAAATTCAAACCCTTCATATTCCCTTAAAAAAAAAAAAAAAAAAAAAAAAAAAAAATTATCGGCCAAATGGCTCATTGTTCTATACAAAGGGTCCTTTCATACTCTGATGATCGTTTATGAGAATTATATTGTCCATTCATTTATTTGATTTTCATTTTATATAGATTTATTAAAAGGACACTAGTCACACTACTAGAAATAATGCCTAATTTTTTTCCTTTTTTATACTAATATTTATGCCTACATGTTTTCTTCTTTTTTTTCTTTTTTTTTTATTTCAATATCATTTTTTTCTATAAAAAAATTCCTTCCATGTGACTAATGGGAACTTCTCAGTCTAGTAAAATGTTAAAACAAAAAAAAAAACAATAGAAGTGTTAATTTATGTGAATGATGTCGTTTAGATTATTTAATAAATAAAAAACAAGTAACAAAGTAGATTTTCAAATAGGCTTTAATGGGTATTTAAGTCAATTTATATTTTAATTCTGTTTCAACTAACTTCTGTTAGTTAAATCACCCTCCTTGAATAGTTGAGGGGGGTTTTTTGGCCAAAAAATAAAAAAAGGGAGTTTAATGAAAAATACATATAGAAAATGGGGGTTTAATGTAGTTCACCCTAATCTAAAAGAAAGTGATTAATTGACGATTATATAACTCTGATAAAAATTTAATGTGGCTATCTTAAAATTTCAACTCAAATATCGTTATTTCCATAATGTGACTATCCTAAAATCCATTCAACACAAGAACAATTCTTTCTATAACCTTATTATCCTAAAATTCCATCTCATGCATGATTCTTTCCATCACTTTTTTTTTTTTTTTGTATTTATTTTTATTGGAATGCTTTTATAAGAATTTTATAAGAAATTAATTTTTACAAAATCTATAACAAAAATTTCATTTGAAGTTTTGAATATCAACAAAAATCGATGATTTAAGAATCTAAATTCTTATTTTATTAATTTTTTTTTTTTAATCATTGTTATTGTTTTGTTAAATTTTCAAATGTTACTTTTTTTAAAAAAAAAAAAAAAAAAAGTTATTTTTGTTTTTTTTTCTTTTCGGTAAATAAAGAAAGTTATTTAATTGAATTTTTTTTTATAATTTTGACTTAAATTATTTGTGTTTGTTCAAAGAGTTTGATAAAAAAAATTTTTTTAAATAACTAGTTTTTTTTATTTAAATAAATTGGGAAAAGTTTAGATAGATATATTTTTGTGTGAATATAATAAATAGTAAAATATTTTTTCCTACATAATATATATATATATATATATTTCAAAAGTTGTAACTAGGTAATATTGTTTAGGGAAAATTACATATACATGGAGTCAAAATTTCATATTTACTTAGAGACTGAGTCAAAGTTCCATATTTCTCTAAAATGGATTGCTGAGGTGGCACATGGTTTTTTACTGTTTAGAAAATTGTGGTGCCTAAAATGCCCTTCCCTAACAAAAAAGTAGTACCTTCAGTGCAAAAAAGTAGTACCTTCAGTTCAAAAAAGTAGTACATTCGGAGAAAAAGTAGTACCTTCGCGGGTGTTTAAAAAACATGGTACCTGGACGCCAAAAAGTAGTACCTTCAGTTCAAAAAAGTAGTACCTTCGTGGAAGGGTATTTTAGGCACCACAATTTCTAAACAGTAAAAAACCATGTGCCACCTCAGCAATCCATTTTAGAGAAATATGGAACTTTGACTCAACCTCTAAGTAAATATGGAACTTTAACTCCATTTATATGTAATTTTCCCTATTGTTTATCCCCCCCCCCCCCCCCCCCGGCGCGGGCGCCAACCTCAAGATCTTGATCTTGGCTCCACCCTTATCAATAGTGATCTTGGCTCCACCCCTGTCAATAGTGTAAGCTTTCAATTCAACTGCATGAGAGCTAAGCCACGCAATTTTTTTTATTGGCTGTTACTCTAATGCTCTGAACACGCTCCCATCTCACACAACATGTGTGTTTTTGCCACTGTTTCTTGGCTCCACCCCTGTGAATAGTGTAAGCTTTCAATTCAACTGCATGAGAGCTAAGCCACACAATTTTTTTTATTGGCTGTTACTCTAATGCTCTGAACACGCTCCCATCTCACACAACATGTGTGTTTTTGCCACTGTTTCTTGGCTCCACCCCTGTGAATAGTGTAAGCTTTCAATTCAACTGCATGAGAGCTAAGCCACACAATTTTTTTTATTGGCTGTTACTCTAATGCTCTGAACACGCTCCCATCTCACACAACATGTGTGTTTTTGTCACAGTTTCTACTATGTGTGACTTAATTTTGTCCTTTTTCGTGCTCCCGTTTTATGTGACTTAGCATGAGAGCATTAAGTAAGGTGAATAAATAAATAAATAAATAAATAAATAAAATAAAAAAAATAAGGTGAATCCAAAAGCACCTAACTGAATTAATAGTAATAAAAAAAATTATAAAATATAAAAAATATAATCCCTCTGTTTCAAAATAAGTGTCTTATTTTGAAAACTGTGACTCATGATTCTCAAAACATGACACTTATTTTAAGATCGATTGAGTATATGCCTTCTAAATGATGATGTGAGAAGTATGGTTGAAGTAGAGTCAACAAAATGGAGACACCCTAGTTGTATATCATGTGACAAATAAATATCAAATAAATTAAAATAAAAATTTTACAAGTAAATTTGTTATAGAGTAATTAGAAGAGATAATATTAAAATAATATGGTCATGTATTCATATATAATGACCAATGGCGTTATATGTTTTTTTTTTTTTTACTTTACTTTTTCAAATTGAATTGTGAGTTATAAGAGCAAAAGGACAATTAAATTTCTTACCAAGAAAAATAAAATAAAATATACTTGTATAGTGTAGATTATGCACAGGTTAGAAAAAAAAGAACGATTGTTTGTCTAAAAAAATAAAGGAGAGAGGTGAATCAAAACATATATGGATAAAGTATTTAACAATAATTTTAAAAAACTAAATATTATAGGAGATAAAAATGTTTAATTGAAAAGAATAGAAAAAAATAATTTAAACTCTATCATATTGAAATAAAAGTAAGGATGATAAATCATGTTTGAAGTGTGGCCAAGGAGATAATACATAAAACATGGTCCATTCAACTTAAAAGATTATAAATATTATTTGTTAAATAAAATTTTAAATGACAATTTTTTTTTTGTTAATCGATTATACCCATATTATACACATTTTTGTTATATATGCTCACAAACTTTATCACTCTTACAAAAGTGTCCGGACAACCCTCATTTTTTTATTATTATTATATTTTAAGGTTAAAAAAAAAAAAAAAAAAAAAAAAAAAAAAAAAAAACCACTGGAATAATACCGCACTTGCAAATTTTTTAAATAATATTACCAATTAACTAAATTTTGATAATTAATTGTGATATTCCAAGATTATCTAAATAAATAGCGTTCATGTATAATGCATGACGACGCTCACATTTTTACAGTTTTACTAACCGACCGACCCATCTTTCCTTAGCATACAAATACCCCCGGAACTCCGCACTCAGTCTCCTTCAGCTTGTCCAAGGTGGAATTCTCAAGCTTCCCTCCTAAGGTACGTGTAACGCCACATTCCAATTTTCTCATCAGATCAACAATTTCGTTTTCATAATAAAACCCTAGGTTTCGATTAACGCGATGAAATCAAGAAATTTTTTATTTGATGTGCAATTTATTCGTTAGATTTCAAATTCTTGTGTTATTTTCGATTTAATTATTGTTTTTTATATACAGGAATTAGATCGTCTAAGGCTGCGGCTACTATTTCAATTAGCAAGAGAGTGACGAAGAAGATTGCGATCTCAATCACCATGAATTCAAGAAGGTTAGTACTACAGTTTCTTTTGCCTAATTTTATTAATTAAAGTTTCTTGCGTCAAATTTCATGCGCATACATGTATATTATATAGATATATACGCGTGTGTGTGTATATATATATATATATATATATATCTGTGTGTATGCAATATTATCGTCTTTATGATGTTTGATTTTATATCAGAGGATTTATGAATGCATCAGAGTTCGGATTTACATACTTTGTCTCTATTCTTTCAAATATTGTGTGCATTGTTGAAAATTGTGCTTATAAGTTATATTATAGGCACAAATTCAGAATATGTGTGTGTGGATTTTTTCATATTTCTTATTTTAAGCATATGAAATGCGCAGTATATGCAATTTAGAATGGTATGTTTTAGCGAGTCTTAGTTGATTCTCCAAATGTTTTAAGTTTTCAAACAATTGTTGCATTTCTTTGATATTAGTCTTGTCTTGGATTATGGAATGGTATGTGGAGAGCTTATTCATGAGGTTTGACTTGCGACTATAGGACGAGGCTAGAAGTTGCAATTTAAAATTTTTTTTTAATACTTATATTTACAAATTGAAAAATTATTGGGAGTCCAAATTGGATTCTCCATCACTGCTCTTGCAAATTTCATCAGATTATGCTTGAAATCCGTGGTTTACAGGCCCACCACTATATGAGAAATCATTTTTTACATCATGCAAATGCAACAATTTATGACTGTCCATGTAGTCCCATAGGTCCTGAAGCATGTTCAATGTAAAATAAAATTTAGGAGGTCAGTTCAGTCTTTGTGGATTCTTAAAAAAGATAAATAAATTGCGCAGGATGTCCTTGAAAGTACTCTCCCAGGAAAAATGCCTCTCCACGTTTACTGATATTTTGATACGAATATTTATAGATTTCATTTTGTACATACAGTATGGTGCTTTATCTAACTTCATTTTTTCTTTATTAATGATATTATGCAGCATATAGAATATCTAGAGTTTCACCCTTGCTTAGTGGTTGTACTAGAACCTGTCAAAATCACATTCTTTATATTGACTACTGTCCTTTTTGTTTTCCTTTATCTAACCTTGTTGATCGAGTATAATTTCAATGTGGTACTTCCACACCTTCATATTCCCTTGATTCAGTTAGGGCCTGTTTGGGCGTCACCTTTAATCCTTATGGACGCTATCATTTTTTATGTTGCATTCAAATGTATAAACCTATCATCTTGAATGAATTGATTTGCAACAGTGGTATAACAAAATGATTTAAAGATATGATAACTTTCCTAAAATTATTGGATGTTCTTATAGTTAATAGCTTTATTCAGGATGATGAATTATTGCTTTGGAACCTATATAAAAAGCAAATGGATCCTTTTTTTCCTCAGTAGGTTAATGCTGAGCCCTAAAAGAGTTGCCTCTACTTCTGTCTAGTATGTTTGTTTTTACAATTTTCACTTCAGCCAAAAAATATCTTATCTTCTATCTGGACTGATAAGTTTATTTATGTTTCTTGTAGATTTTGATTTGATTTCTTAAAAGTTTAAAAGATGCTTTAATGTTACACATGATCCTTGCTTTCCATTTCTAACACATTTGTCGTCACTTACACAAACGCACACTGGTTGTTTTTATTACCGACCAGTCGACCACATAATGTATGCATTGGTCTTTATACAACTTATAACCAGCATACTGTGAATCTGCGATGCACAAGTAGAATGCTAAATATTTAAGAAATTAGAAAGATCCAAAGTAGAATGAAGTTGCTGTATATGAAACAAGATCCCCTCATTCGATACCCTGTTGGTTTATGATGTTATTACATGATATCTGGAAATAAAAGAAAAGGATATTAAAAGTCCTGTATACTATTCTATGACATTATCACTTGATATCTGGATATAAGAGAAAAAGGATATTAAAAGTCCATTACTGTTTTCCACATGCTGGTGCCACTAAGAACACATGCACAATGCTTGCTTTTGTCAAATGAAAAAAAATCTGCTGAAGTTTCTCAGTTTCATCGGTTGCCTTAATCTCAATAGTGGAAGCTTAAGATTTGATGTATGATGCACCTGTACATATATCATCTTAATTGTCAGTCACTCATCCTATTTTGTGTTTTTTTTTTTTTTTTTTTTTCTGCGTGACAAGATGACAAATACGTTTACATCTTTGATTTTATCAAAGATTATAGTAATATTATTTGTGCAAGTTTATTATATGCAAGATTTGATATGCGTATCTTTAAATACCTGGATAGAAACAAACTTTCACTAGAAGTTCTCCTTAATTCACTGGTAAGTATTTGTTTTTAGAATCGGGATTATTATCTTTGTAGTGATGCAGACTCCATTCTATTAGTTTTAAATTTCTGTCGTTTTTTCTTTTTTGAGAGGAGAAGAGATACTTCCACCTCTTGGCTTGGCATATATTCCCACTGAAAGGAAAGCGAACTTGTATTCTTTATTTCTGGCTCCTAGTATTAGCACTTCAAATAATATTCTTTGAGTGCAGGGACTACCGTAACAGTAGAGTTGCTCTCTTTGATGGCATTGAGGAGGGTGGTATAAGGGCCTCCACTTCTTATTCCTCCCATGAAATTGATGAGCAAAGCAATGATAGAGCAGTGGATGGGTTGCAAGATAGAGTGAATCTCCTGAAAAGAGTAAGTTGTACCCTGGACTGGAAACTCGACCATTTATACAATATCGCAGTTTTTGATTGGTCTACATGTTCTTATTTAGTAATTTACCGAATGGATAATATTCTTGTAATGTTTTGATATAGTGAAGTTCATGCTCTTTCTGATTGCTTAATAGGTGAGTAAAATGAAGGAAGAAAATGGGAAATAGTTTAATTTTGGTTTGGAATCCCATGTAAATATTTAATATTCAGCTTGTATCCTCCATCTGAGTCATTTAATTCTTTCCTTCTTAATGGGGATGGGAGGTGCTACAATTCTTTATATTTTATTCAAAGCATGTTCCCACCAATTGACAATTTTTTTACTAAAATTAAAAAATTGGGTGAGAACGAATGATAAAATCACTACAGTAGTCTTATGCTTGGTGAACTTTTTTTTTTTAATGCACATCACTGTAACAGTTGACAGGTGATATACATGAGGAAGTGGAGTCCCATAACCGTATGCTGGATAGAATGGTGTGTATTTATCACATGTAAATGCCACATTCTGTATTATCGTTCTTATTATGATGACAATGGGTTGCATTGGTTGTGCTTTATCATTTAGGGGAACGATATGGATTCATCACGGGGAGTCTTATCAGGAACTATGGATAAATTCAAGATGGTATCTAAAGCAGATGACCTCTGTTCTAGTATTTTAATTTTATTTTCTTGCACACTTTATTTACCCTGGTGTTTGCTGAGTATGTGCTTGCTTTACTTAGGTATTTGAGACCAAATCGAGCCGGAGAATGTTTACGCTTGTGGCATCATTTGTGGTCATTTTCCTGGTTATATACTATCTCACTCGGTAAATAGTTTTATGAATGGAGATAATCTGCTGGTTTATGCTTCTTGAACTGGGGAAATTTTTTCACTTTGTTCCTGTGGTCAATATCAGCACCTTCCTGTAAGATATTTTGGTATCTGAGTTTGTATAAAGATATATTGATGCACCAGAGATTTTTGTGTGTGGAATTGATTGCATTTGCCTAATGATCGCACTCTGCCTGAATTAACAGCCATGTTCCTGGTTTGTCTTCATGGTTCTATAGTCTCTCCGTCATGAATGTCAATTTCTCAGTAGAAAACATCACTAGGGTGACAAATATATATATGCCTTGGCCAATTGAAAGATTATTTTCTTTCTTGATAGACAGACAGTCATGAAACATGTATCACCTAGATTGCAACGTCCACCATTAAATCATAATTAAGAGATTAAATTCTTCCAGATTTTCCAATTGAAAGAATTTTTTCTTTCTTGATGGGTGAAATATAAAAAACAATTTTCCAATTCAAAGTTGCTGTTGGGAACCTAGTGAAATTTATTGAAGGGTAGAAAGATTAGTCACCGAGAAAAGCTCGCAAAACTGTGAATAAGAAAGCTGAATGCACAACGGAATATGTCTACCCTTATAAAGGATTCCCAATAGGTTGACAGGCTCGTCCCCGACATCTTGGTGAGGTATTTTTGCTAAAGAAAACAATGCCGATTTATCCAAATGAATGGTCTGCCCTATTGCTCATTTGATGCGTGCTATCGTATAGTAAGAATAAGCCAGTGCTTCCGACCGCTCCCTCACCTTCGCTGCTGAAATTTGACATTACTTTTTTGTCCCTTCTTTTTCACACCAGACAGCTGACTACCATGCCTAAACTCCATTGTTATCTATTATTTTAGGTGTCTAGTTTTCAACTGTTTTTCAATATTCACAAAAATTTGAGTCGTCCTTTTCTTAGAACATTGAATACACACAATGCCTTCTGCTAACTAGGGTTTTTTTTCAGGCAAGAAATAACATGATCTGCAAATTGCAATGATTATAAATATCCAATTTCAACAACCAAAAAAAGGTTATGGGATAGGCGGTCTTCTTAATATATGAACACATGCATTTTACTAAAAAAAGCTAACTTAAAAATCTATTACCAGAAAATGATGTAGTTTGTCAAAATACCTGCCTTCATTGAAAATGTAAGAGTCTTTTTTGCATATAAACTCCAAAAATTTGTGAACAACACACACAAGTGTGTACAGTATCACAAATCTATAAAAATATAGAACCTTGTACATATATATGGAATAAAATTGAGTTTTACGGATCTTGACCAAGCCGGAGCTCCAAATCTAATCCATCTTCTTGAATCGCACCTCGATTCCTCTTTTCATCATGATCTTCTGGGTGCCAGGAATCAAATTGCAAACTCAAACCCGTCTGCCAATTCAACTCTCCTAACGAATTCAAGCTGTGGGGGTTTTGATCATTAATGGCATGGTGATGGTGTGTGTGTGAAAAAGGCTTGGTACCTGATACAGATGATGATGGAAAACATGTCTGATAACTGATTTGTTGCGCATTGTTGTTCGGTGCAGAAGAATAATAATGCAGTGGATAGCTTGAAATTGGCAGCTGGTAGAAAATTGGATTCGCGTAATAATTGTCTTCTTCAATTTTAGTTGAATTGAAGATGCTGCAGGAAGAAGGTGTAACAATATTATTATTCTTGGCTCTATCTTTCCTATGGATATTCATGTGTCCACCCAAGGCCTGCGCATTAGTGAAGCCACGCCTGCAAAAGATGCAGTCATAGGATTTACCTGCTGCACTACTACCGATCTCCCCATCTTTGAATTCGTTCTCTTGTTCGTCATCAACCTCTTGATCACTCCAGTTCATCGACTCTTCTCGATTACCAGCTGATGATTCCATAACTAATCTGACACGTTCTTCAGTTTTGTTTTGAGCTAGAGAGAGATATAGAGAGGGAGTGATCGAGGAGGAGGAGGATATGCAAATGGCCACATAGACAATATTAATATATATATATATTGTCCCCGGCAAGACTCAAACTCTTCGAGAGGGATGAGATCATACCATTTGGACTAATACACATTTATTATATATATATATATAATATTATTGTGAGCTGAGTGATCGAGGGTGTGGGAAAGGTAGACAAGGTCTTTGGTGCTGACAGAATGATTTCTGTTAATTAGCTATAGCAGCCGGCTGCTGGTGGGGATGTAGATTTAGTATAGATAGATACTTAGTTGTATTTATATAATCTCTTTTCCTTCGACCTATTACAAATCTTGTTGCTTTCGTCTAGGTTTATTTCCTTAACGCCTTCTTCATTTTGTCATCTCTCCCCCACACATATATAATTTATTATATAATGTGACTCCTACTCCTAATAAACCTTTTCTCACATGGTTCTATCGGGCTTTGTTTGGTTAAGATGACCACAGATCACGGTGTACATGTTCCCTAGCTGCGTGTATATATATGGTGGTGTGCATATATATATATACACTTGTATATAGATCATCTTCCGACTCCTCCCATCTGATATAGCATTATGGATCTATATATGTTTAACATTATTTTTGTTGAATATTAATTACATTTTGATGGACATGTATGTATTTTAAGATCATATGAAAAAAGAAATGTGTTACTATTTTGGGTTGACTACGGTGGGTTTAGTAGTTCATAGTTCATAGTTGTTATTATTAAAGTGGTAGAATGATGATAGAGGAAGCAACTCAAAAGCAAGGCGAAAGTTGTAGGAAGCTTCCTAAATGAGTTGGAAAATGGCAAACAGTAAGCATTTTTGTAGCTTATATTTGTCCTACAACGGACCTACAATTATTTTTGAATAATAATGTAATAAGGGTCATTTATTCACGTCAGGTCTGAATAAAAAAATGATTAGGTATAAATAGGTGGGTATGTAATATTATTTAATAGTTTGAACTTTTAGGTAAATAGGCAAGCGCTTACCCGTTACAATTGCTATCAAAGCCATACCTAATCATTGATCCAGTGTCACGCCAAACGCCCAGCTCGAAAAGTGTCCAGGTGAGCATCCCGGATAGGCAGGGTGGCAGGTGGCCCAAATCACAACGAGAGCGTTGCAAGTTTGAGCGGGGAAGAATGTAACAAGGCTCAATTGTCCCAAGTCGGATTCAGATGAGAAAGTGATTGAGTACAAAAGGATGGATATGTAACAATTTGAACTTTTAGATAAATGAACAAGCGGCCACCCGTTACATATGTCCACTAAAAAAATAAAAATAAAAAGCTACACTAATTAATTTAGTGAAGTCCACTAATGTTTTATTAAAATTGCTTAAAAAATTATAAAAATGGTCATTAATTATCCAGTGTGGTGGTTGTTACTCGAGGGTGCTAGGAAGTTTCTTCTAAATTACATAGATGTGATTTGGTTAAATAAATAAGACTATGGTAGAAGAAAAATAATTGGAGGACATTTGACTCCTTATGCAATATAAATGTGCATTGACAATGATTCAATCTTTCCATCATTTAAATAAATTACAAAATTAGTATTGTGAGGAAAAGGGATATCTCATTTGATCCATTTTAGCTGCTCCATATGCGCTTGTTACACATATTTTTAGATCGATTATATATATAGCAAATTAGCAATAAGAGCTCCCTCTCTTGCAGGCCAAGCAAAGTGTTTCATTAAACTAAGCTTGGTTTAACACAGTTCACTAACACATCAGTTAGTACAATAAACTGAGCTCAAGTTTTACGTCCTTCACCCGTGAAAGTCACTCCACACTAATTGGACTATGTTCGCAGCTCTAATTCATATAAAATTATTTGCACATAAAAAAAATCGATTTTGAGACTAATATTTCATGAAGCACGATATTCGATCTTTGTCTTTTTTAACTAAACTAACCCAAAGATATATTTAAGGTGAATTAATTTTGAAAATGTGCATGGTCAAGGATGTTGTAAGAAAAAGAGATTAGCTTTATGGGTTATGGACGATGACAACATTGGACATGTACAATTAAATTATTTATTAGCATAAATTGTTGCCTTCAGTAATTATCATGGTTTTAGGTCTAGTTGAAAAGGATTTCAAGAAATCTCCTATGCGAAAAGATACTTATGAATGTAAAAATGAATTTCCTATTTTACTACTAAAATTGAAGCCATACAATTTATGGGCTTTTTTTTTTTTATAAAAAAAATTGAATTCTAGTTTGAAAATGAGGGGTGCACAAAAATTCGGTGAAACCGAAAATCCAAACCGGATTGAACTAAACCGGACAGTTTGGTTCAGTCATGGTTCAAAATTTACGAAATTATAAAAATACGGTTTGATCATGATTTGAGATCCTTTAAGACCGAAACGGTAAGTTATATATATATATATATATATTAAATTAGACATATAATATCATATCATTCTACAATGTTGTTAGTTTTTTGAATTGTGGTGTTTGTTGTTGAATTAATAGTTTTAAATTTATTAGACTATTAGCAGTTCTGAAGGTGTTCACTAATTTATTTCAGTTCAAAAAGTGACAGAAAAGAATGAATACATTAGCAATTTTGAATGTATTAAATGAATGCATTAGTTGTTGGTTAACTTTGTTTATTGTTGTGTATTTGGATTTTGAAATATTAATATTTCTATAATAGGAAAAGAAAAAGAAAAAAAGAAAGAGGAACCATGGAAATGAACCGAACTGAACTAATGTTTCACGGTTTGGTTTGGTTCCTTTGGTAAAATGGTTTGGTTTGGTTCTAGATTTTTTAAAACCGTTATAAATAGTTTGGTTCCAAAAAACTCTAGAATTTTTATTTTTGTAAATTATCATTGGCAGCAAAACGAGGCCTTAAGACTACAAATCATTTTATTAAATAAATTCGTGGGGTCAAATTTTTTTTATTTTTTATTTTTCCTTTCTTGACGAGGAATGTAAGATGACTTCAACTCACTTTGAAAGATAGACTTTGACTGTTTAGAGCCCAGTCCATATTTCATAAATAATTTTGGGACCCTGACCATCGGGTCAGTCAAAAAGTGGACCCACATCAGATGGGCTTCTCTGACCAGACGGGTTACAATTTTAGTTGAAACGACTTTGACTGATTTAGTCCATATAATTCACTTATTGGGCCTAATCAATTAACAAACTCCCTAGTTTTTTGTTTTATTATTATATTTTTTTTCGGGTCTAGAATTTGCAATGAAATTACTTTCCCACTAGTTTGAAGGAGTGTTTTTAACTCAATTACTCATACTGACAATTGAATCTTGAACCAAATATTTAGGCCAGGGTCAACCGTCTAGTAGTGTGCCAATTAGTAAAAGGAAGTGTTCGAATAAGGAGGACGCAAGTCCTTTGGGCTTGAAATAGCCCAACAATATATATAATACATACAGAGTACATGCATAGATTCATCAAGAATTGTGTTCTCACCGGGTGTATTTATCAATCAAATGCACTTACCTCTACTATAAAAATAGGGTTTTATTTATTTATTTAATGTCAATTCCATAGGCACCTTAGGATTTTAGGGGAGAGAAATGCCCATGATCTCACAATTTCAATAGTTAGATTTATAGATCACTTACAAGATTCAAAGGCTGAACATGCATGATCGCAAGTATGTAAAAAGAATCGAGTGAATAAAAAGTAAATAGCAGCGCGAATAGAGAGCGAAATTATTTCATGGTTGGTGGTAGATGGAGATGTAAGCTGATCGACTTACTTTATCCCATATCTCATCTCTTTCACCAAAACAGCACTTGGGCAAGTTGTCATCTATCCTCCAAATGTCTTTATTTGCCTTTCAATTATCACCCATTGCGTGGGAAGAAGCCGCTTTGAAGTTTGAAGTTAAAAAGAGACGAGAGTGTCTGCATATATATATATATATAGATGTGTGTGTGAATTGAGTCTTCTTGTATAATGGTTCTGAATTGACCAGTTTCCAGCTAGTTAAGGAAAGGCTATCATGGCACTGACACATTGACAGCCCAACATTGTTGGGAACATGCAAAGTATCAGATGTTGGGAAATACAAATATCCCATATCGCAGAGACCAAAATACCATTCGAATTATTTGACAAGACAAAAGTACCAATACTACTACTAGTAAAAAATATTTGTATGTACAATTGGATCCTGGACAGACAACAAATTAATGATTTATAGACATGTCTTTGGTATTCCTTCCAATGGCATCCCATGAAGACTTACAGTCTTCTTCTTTTTATTCATGAATACAATTTTAATGAGCAGAGAGGCAATAATTATTAGATAGTCCAACCACTGACCACTTCATGTTACAGTCTAATCAAAACTCTTATTGAACTCTTTTACGTTCATTTCTTTTAATGGTAAAGTGAGATCCTAGATGAAATGTAGGACCTAAGGTTTAACCTTATATTAACCTTTTTAATTACACTCGTCATATATACACTTTGATGTGACTTATATCCAACTGTCTGAAGATAAATATATACATGTACACATGAATTGCACTCTTAGAAATGAAGATATATATATATATATATATGACTTCTCCTTGCTAAAATTTTATTAAATAAAAACCATGCATACTCCCTTTTATATCTGCAATTTAAATACCGTATTTTTCTTCCCATAAGAAAAGGTAGTTGGCATTAATTCATTATTAATTGAGAACAATAGCAGGAGATCGAGGACTCCAATCAATTCATTTTCATTTTAAAGTCATGTCACATTTATAAGCTAACTATTTAAGAGACACCATTCATGAACAAACTGAATATATTAACTTTCCCTTAAAAGAAATTCATCATAGTAGATGAGATGCAAAAAAAAAAAAATTACAATAACCAATTAAACAAAAGAGAGGAAATTAACGATTAATTTTCTCATGGAATGTAATCTAAGTTCAATCGGATCATCTCACAGCTCGCTAGATCCACTTTTAGGGTCGATTCAACATTCTCAAGCCACTCTCCTAATTAATTCTCTGTACTATTGTCAAGAAACCAGAGAAAATGAAAAGAAAATTCTTGGGGTTGAAGATGTTGATCTCTAATTAATTCTTCTTTTTTACCTGCACTTTTCTAGTAGCAAATGAATCATCATAGTCAATAGAAAGAAAAGAAAGAAAAAAAGTAGCTAATACCCAAGTCGAAGCTCCAAATCCAAATCCTCTTTCGCAGCATCTTGAATCAAACCTATGTTGAGGTCCAAGTCCAACTGAACAATAGTACTACTACTACTGATATCCCTTTTCTTCAAAACCCTAAATTCATCTTGTTGTGCAAAACCAGACTTCAACTTATTGTCTCCTGATCCAACCCCAAGAAAAGCTCCCATGTTCATCTTCTTTCGCATATCCCGGCGCGGAGGACTCAAAGCATCACAGACAGAATGCACCGCCTTTTCTACATGCTTTGTGGAGGCTGAAGTAGTACTTGGTGAAGAGAAGCAATTAGTGATGAGAGAGGGAGATTTTTTAAGGGAGGAGCCACAGATCAGGTATGGCGCCAAGAAACTCCTGGCAGGAGGTAAGCTGAGTGACAAATTAGGGTTAGGGCTAGAGTTAGCAATAGGAGAATCGAGCCAAGAAGGTGAAAGTCTCAACTTGGCCTTTTCTCTCCTATGAATATTCATGTGACCCCCAAGGGCTTGAGCAGACTTTAATTCTTTGTTGCAAAAGCTGCATTTGTAGTCCCTTTGAGGCCATGGATACCCACTTTTACAATCTTTATTTAAGCTCAAGTTGGTGCACTCCCATGTGTCTTTCAATTTATTACTCTCACTGCTCAAATTCACTCTCTCCATTTATGTATATATATATATATATATATATATATAGACTTATGGTAATTAACAAGATCAAAACAACAAGAACAACTAGTCTATATATAAGCTCAAAAAGAGAGATCGAGAGAGAGAATGTGTTGTGGATGAAGACCTTGAAATGGGGTATATATATATATATATATATTCAGAGGAAGTGATGAGGAAATTTGTACTGATTATAAGGTGGGATTGTAGTGGAGTTTTGTATTGGGTGTGTGTATAAGTACTTAGTGCATGCAGAGCAGATGTTTGTTACTATATTTGGAAGTTATTTGGTCAATGTATTATTGAAGCTTGGCCTTCAGGGTGGTTGCTTTTTGCCAAAACCAGGTTGCGCGTTTTAAAACTAGAGATATTATTTGCTGCAACTGTAAATTAGACTGACTGCGAGGTCAATTCCGCATTTACTAAAAGGGTAAATTAGACTGACTGCCCCAAAAGTTTGGTTAAATTACACATACCTAGAGTGCTTGGATTTTATTACTTTGATTACCTCTTAAATTTGGTGGGTGTGCCAAACCACACTCCCTGTTGTTAATAAAAATTTAAAAATGACTAAGTTGTCATTTTCTTCTGTTAAAATATTTCAATAACCTTATGTTTTGACATGAAATAATAAAAAATAACATGAAATGCAAAATATAAATTTTTATACAATTTCATATTATTAAATTTTACAAAAATAATATTTTTTTTGTTAATGACATTTGATTACTTTTTTTTTAATGACAAAAATATACTCTTCCACAAATGCTTAATGGTAATGCAAAAAATATAGCAATGTTTTTGGAAAACAAAATTTTGTTTTTTTAAAAGATTTTTTTTTTTCATTTTAATTTAAATTTAAAAAAATAAATATATAATTAGGGTAAGAAAATGATCCCAAATTTTTATAGACATGAAATACACACACTTATTGGGCGGTCTGAGTTTTCATAGTTACAAACCAAGCAAGTCCTGAGTTTTCAGAAAATTGAATCAGGCAGAATTTTTTGTACTGTTTTCAATTTTTTGAGAGCAGAAAACTGTTTCCAAGGTTACAAACCAAACAAGCCCTAAGGATTCCTTTGGTTTGTGAATAATTTTTTATTTCTGAAAATCAAAACATATATTGTATACAAATTTGTTTGGTTGATTGCTTTTTAAAAATCTACTTTATAAAAATTCAGTTAAGGGTGGGTTATTTTTATAGAGCTGGTACAAAATAAACCCTCCAAAAAAAACATAAATGGTTATAAATTAATTCATTATGTCTTTTGATAGGACCCCAAATAATAGTAATAATAATAATAATAATAATAATAATAATAAGGAACCGAAAAAAAAAGTTCTCTCATCCAACCAGGACAGACCCAGGAAATTGGGTAAGGGGGGCAAAAGTGAAAAGTTTTTATAATTTTAGGAGGGCAACATTAAAATTTCATTGATATATAATTATAATATGAAAAAATTCATAGTATTTAGTGTTGCAAAATTTTGATGTAACAGAGATGTGATACTATTTGTAGAATGCAATTGGTATATATTTTACCTCTATATATATATATATATATATATAACGTTGGCAGAAATTCGGAAAGTAAACTTTTCAGATCTTGCTTTCGAACCGCACTTCTAATCTAAATGGTGCGCATGTTATAGATACACGTATTCTAAAAAAAAATTATATATATATATATATATATAGATATATATATATAGAAGGTTAATCAAAGCACATTGTCAACATTGTCCATAAGCATTTGTAGTTACTTTGACATACTTAACATTACACATTATTTAGCATATTCACGGCATATTCCATGACATGAATACTATGAATATTTGGTTTAAAAAAAAAAAAATACTATGAATATTGTGCATGAAAAATAATTGCAATAGCTACATTAATGAATGTAGCAAAGGAACAATAAGACATGTACAATAGCTACATTAATATTGTAGCATGAGAGCAATAAGACACATAGAAGCTTCCGCAAAAGGATTCAGAATAAACAAACAAATTATTTTCCTAAGCCATGCGTAGAGACACATACATGATAATATATAATTTTTGTTAGAATCTTGAAAATGTCCCCAATTTATTGAGAGAAAACACAACAACATAACTTTTCATTAATTCGAATGGAAAGTATTTCTCTTTTCCTAAAGTTAGATTGTTGGATTTAAGGACTTATATTTATTATTTAATAGAGTCAAAGTCATAATGTCTCGAAAAATTAAAATTGACCAAAATGATAACGTGATATGAAAAAATACTATTCCACTTTTGTCTTGAGTGTAGTAGATGTATCACTTTTATACACATAGGTAGTACTTTTTGTGCACACGAGTACTCTTTTTTTTTTTCTTTTCTTTTTTTTACTTTTTATTTCCTCCTTACAAAAGGTAGTACCTGATGACATAGTTCACACAAAATATACACACACACACGAACATGCACAAAAAGTATTACTTATATGCAAATAATATCTCTATGCTCACGATAAAAGTAATTCCTAAAAATAATAAAAACAGTTTGAGCAAATGGTACTGCCCGCTCGAGAATAACACTCAAAAATATTGTGAATGTATTCTCAACTGGGATGCATACATTGGTAAGTAACTCATTAAATCCTGTAACTTTTTTTTTTATTTTTTATCAGAAGCAAAACATACAAATCCTGTAATTGCTAAGCTTGATTATCATATTCGTTAGCTGTCATTTCATGAATGAATGATTCTATTTATATAGTTCCGTACATTAATAAATTTTCATAAAATGTAATGCTTCTGTAAAAGCTTTCGTTTATTTATTTATTTTTACAGGTAGTGAATAAAAAAAAAAAAAAAAATTTAAAATTGAAAGGCAATAGATAGTAGACGCGTGCTAAATTGATAACACCTTAACACGAAATGAAATAAATGAGTTTGGGTTTATTTTAAATAGGTTTTGGTCATAAACGAGTTCGACACGATTAATTCGTTTAATTAATGGTGTCGTATTAAAATTGAGAAATTCAACACGTATAATCTGTTTAGACCTGTTTAACTAAGAGTTTCATATTAATATCACTCACATAATTCATTACCTCTTTAGACCCAATTATTATAAATAACTGGGTCATTCCAACATAAGCCCTAATAAAAATATATATTAATTCTTTAATTAATGTATATTTTTTATAATATTTTTTATTTGATTGAGTATTATAAATAATCTAAATAATATAATGTTCGGTTTTGTAAATATTTTATTAAACAGGTTAACATGTCTGACCCGTTTAATAAAGAAGTCAGGTTAGTGTTGAGGGTTCTTGATACGATTATTAAATAGGTCGGGTTAGTGTTGATTTCTTCAGTAAAAGACCCTTATATTGACACCAAACAATTATGATATACGAATACGAATTGCCACGAATATTATTTCTTTTAAAAAATGATCCCAATTCCCAAATTAAAATTATTAAAAAGGCCCTAAGCGTTTTTTGGCCTACTCCTTTACCGCGTTTTTTTGCCAACTCCTTTACCCTGCTCCTCCTGGGCCGAATAGACAACCCAGTTTATAGCACAAGAATTTCATACTATAAATAAATTAACACCCACTGTCAGCTTGGGCCAAAAAGATGTTTCAGCCCAAGCATTGTAATACTCAATTTAATACTCCAACCAGCCGTGATACCTATCAACTCCAAACTCCAACATGTTTTGGGAAAAGAATTTTTTAATTTGAAAGAAAAATATAGTACAAAAATTGTGAGAAGAGTTTTTGTTGTAGTTGTTTTTCGAAATTTAGCATTGAAATTTTTAAAAAAAAAAAAAAAAACTAACGTTAATACAATATAAAGGCTATTACAATTAGAGGCTTTAAAAGAAATGACGTTCAAATGCAAAATCAAAAGGAAGAGTAGATAACTACACATATACAAGCAATGGATTATATAACAACAGTCATCATTGAACAACAGACTGTTCCCAAAGTTTGAAGCATACCAGCTTCTTTCCTTTGTAGAGGGGAGTTCGCGTCTAACGAGCAAAGAATAAAGATTTCCAAGCGTGAGATGATAGATAGGATTTTCTATAAACTACACTAAAGAACAAGAGAGGTTACGTGTTTACTGTATTAGTTTTCTCCAATATCTAAGTATAGTTGTCGCTTTCTCTCCAATCCATTATAAGATCCATATGCAACAAAGCTTACAAATAGAACTAAATGAGTTAAAACAAGTTTTTCATGCCATTAGCGTTTCAAACACAAATATTTATTTTGTCATGCTAGAAACAACTGTTCAATATAAGCATGAAGACATTTGTAACTGTAATTTTGTTGGGAAGTAACCAATATCTCAGAATGCAAATTCACAAAGCTTACAAATAAAACCACTTAATTAAAATGAAGTACCTTTCACACCAAGAGGTTTCAAACACAATATTTTATCTCTGGTCATGTTAGAAACAATGAAGGCATTTGCTTCCAAACCCTCAAATCCAATTTTGTAATTTACATAAGATTATACTCATTTGTCATTCTAGCACATTAATGATGAGAATTGAGTAAAAGTACTCACCCGGTTTTCTGTACATTCCTTTACCCTCTCTCCTTAATCCACAACCCAGTTTATAACCCAAGAATTTCATACTACAAACTTTACAAATGCAGCTTGGGCCTAGCAGACATTTCAGCCCAATAATTTTAATACTCCATCCAGTTTAGTGATAAGCGGCCCAATCTACTTGAACTTGAACATCCACACCGTCTTCTCCTAGTCTGATGTAGAATTTTATGACTTTGGTTGATTTTGATAATAATTTTTTAATTCCGAAAATCAAAAAAAAAAAAAATTAAAATTTTTGTTTGATTAACACTTTCTGAAAAACTATTTTTTTAAAATTTAGTTATAAAAATAGTTATTTTCATAGAATTGTTGTTATAATTATGTAAAAACATTTTATGTTTTTAATTTTTTCAAAGGTTAGAATTAAGGGTAAAATATAGAAGG